GATATACAGTGAGCTTCCTCTTCAGTGTGATGACCGGCAACCAGGGGGAAGATAAAACGAAAAAGCAATAATAGTGCAATATGTCCCAAAAAGTGGATAAAATGGTATAAAAATATAATAGATACACTCACATTTAATAGAGCTTATACTAGCTCTAGTGTAGTAGGCATGCAACGGTATGATCTCCGTATCTGGGATATGCGGTGAGCGGTCGTTAGTACAGTTCTTTAAGGTGGTAACGGGAGCTCAGGGAGAAGATAATAAAACAGCAATAGTGCTCTCGGTAAAATAATGCTGAATAATAAAATAAAATAAAATATACTCACAATATAGAGGGCAGGCTAACTGCTCTATGGTATAGGCACGGGTGGTATGATCCCCACCTCAGGATTCGTTGGAGTATGGAAGACAATAGATAAAAAAGCCAGGTATTTAAAAAATAAAAATTAACATAAATAAAAGATAGTGGTGCAAGAGAATAAAGTGACCAAAATCTATTTATTAACAGTAAAATTATTAGTGCAATATCCAAACGCGTTTCACCAATATAGGCTTTATCAATGGATTAAAAACATGTCAACCTGGCTTATTAGAGTTTATATAGGCTATGAATAACTTTAAAAATTGCGCCAAAACTGCTCTGGCCAATCACAGAGCGGATTGTAATTGCTCACATAAAACAATAAAAAAACATATTAAGTACATAAATATACCTAGTAGGGTTTAAAATATATAATATTGATGTAAAAACGAGGTTTGTATAAAGAAATATAATAGCTAATTTGTGAGTCATGTGACGCGCGTCATAAGCGCGACGTCACTTCCGGTCGCTCGGTATGCTGGGGCATGTAGTTGTATCTTACACTACATGCCCAAGCAGTATACCGAGAAGGTTTTAGAGCCATATGATAGGCTCAAGAGGGGGGAGTAACTGTAGACCGGAGGGGAGAGGAAAGGAGAGGGAGGAAAATAGCCGAAAAACGGCTAGATAAAAGGAAAATAGGGGCGCGGCGGCCATCTTGGTTGGGGAATGGTTTGCAATAGGCTGTGTAAAAAACATAGCGGCGGCCATATTGGAGGGGGCAAGAAACCAAATATACTTAAAAATAGACATATTCCAGTAAAGAGAAAAGGGGAAACAATAATAAGAACATATTAGTAGTTAAAAAAACATGTGACTAAAACTTATATTGAAATAAAGTATAATGCTAGTCAACAAAGAGTTTTTGAGAAAATAAAATAAATTAAATCTAAAAGTATAAAAAAGTGCATATATATAAAAGAGCAGACATTTGTGAACAATAAATTAACAATGTTATATAAAATTGAATAAATCAAAATCAGCATTTAAACCATTTGGGGTTAGGGTTTTCAAATTAAAAACCCATTCCATTTCACACTTTCCCAGAATATTTTTTATATTACCTCCTCTCCATGGAATAGTGCATTTTCTTATACCAATACATTTTAAATGGCGTGGATCGTTATTATGGATAGAGAAGTGTTTAGATACGGTGTGGTTTTGATATCCTTTTGTAATATTACGACAGTGTTCGCCTAATCTTGTTCTTAAGCTCCTAGTGGTCATACCAACGTACTGCAAACCACACGGGCATTCCAGGAGATAAATTACGTTCTTAGATGCACAAGTAATAAAATCTTTAATATTATATATTTTGTTGGTTTTATTTGATTTAAATTGACCACTAGGAGCTTAAGAACAAGATTAGGCGAACACTGTCGTAATATTACAAAAGGATATCAAAACCACACCGTATCTAAACACTTCTCTATCCATAATAACGATCCACGCCATTTAAAATGTATTGGTATAAGAAAATGCACTATTCCATGGAGAGGAGGTAATATAAAAAATATTCTGGGAAAGTGTGAAATGGAATGGGTTTTTAATTTGAAAACCCTAACCCCAAATGGTTTAAATGCTGATTTTGATTTATTCAATTTTATATAACATTGTTAATTTATTGTTCACAAATGTCTGCTCTTTTATATATATGCACTTTTTTATACTTTTAGATTTAATTTATTTTATTTTCTCAAAAACTCTTTGTTGACTAGCATTATACTTTATTTCAATATAAGTTTTAGTCACATGTTTTTTTAACTACTAATATGTTCTTATTATTGTTTCCCCTTTTCTCTTTACTGGAATATGTCTATTTTTAAGTATATTTGGTTTCTTGCCCCCTCCAATATGGCCGCCGCTATGTTTTTTACACAGCCTATTGCAAACCATTCCCCAACCAAGATGGCCGCCGCGCCCCTATTTTCCTTTTATCTAGCCGTTTTTCGGCTATTTTCCTCCCTCTCCTTTCCTCTCCCCTCCGGTCTACAGTTACTCCCCCCTCTTGAGCCTATCATATGGCTCTAAAACCTTCTCGGTATACTGCTTGGGCATGTAGTGTAAGATACAACTACATGCCCCAGCATACCGAGCGACCGGAAGTGACGTCGCGCTTATGACGCGCGTCACATGACTCACAAATTAGCTATTATATTTCTTTATACAAACCTCGTTTTTACATCAATATTATATATTTTAAACCCTACTAGGTATATTTATGTACTTAATATGTTTTTTTATTGTTTTATGTGAGCAATTACAATCCGCTCTGTGATTGGCCAGAGCAGTTTTGGCGCAATTTTTAAAGTTATTCATAGCCTATATAAACTCTAATAAGCCAGGTTGACATGTTTTTAATCCATTGATAAAGCCTATATTGGTGAAACGCGTTTGGATATTGCACTAATAATTTTACTGTTAATAAATAGATTTTGGTCACTTTATTCTCTTGCACCACTATCTTTTATTTATGTTAATTTTTATTTTTTAAATACCTGGCTTTTTTATCTATTGTCTTCCATACTCCAACGAATCCTGAGGTGGGGATCATACCACCCGTGCCTATACCATAGAGCAGTTAGCCTGCCCTATATATTGTGAGTATATTTTATTTTATTTTATTATTCAGCATTATTTTACCGAGAGCACTATTGCTGTTTTATTATCTTCTCCCTGAGCTCCCGTTACCACCTTAAAGAACTGTACTAACGACCGCTCACCGCATATCCCAGATACGGAGATCATACCGTTGCATGCCTACTACACTAGAGCTAGTATAAGCTCTATTAAATGTGAGTGTATCTATTATATTTTTATACCATTTTATCCACTTTTTGGGACATATTGCACTATTATTGCTTTTTCGTTTTATCTTCCCCCTGGTTGCCGGTCATCACACTGAAGAGGAAGCTCACTGTATATCCTATAAGCGGGGATAATACCGCTGCAAGCTATCCATACCAGAGCTGGATTAAGCTCTACAAAAAGTGAGTATTATCTCTTCTTTTTTATTTGGATACCCGTTGGATCACTCTCCACCATCTCATCATCCATCACCCTCCTCCATATACCAGGAAGGAACAAAATCCCACAACTACAAGAGACGAATATAATACCAAGTTTTTTATTACATTGGACTCTATTTCCATATTCTAATAAGGACTTTTCATTTCCATCTATTGGCGCAGTCCCATCCTTCTATTTGTTTGCTTTTTATAACTAGGTGCAAACCTGGTGCCCATGGCAGTTCCCTTGATTTGCAGGAAGTACTCATCATTGAACATAAAAAGTTATGAGTAAGTATAAATTCTATGGCTTCAAGTAGAAACTCTACAAAAGTGCTATTAAGGGTCATATCTCTATCAAGGTTGTCTTTCACAGCCTGTATACCCAATTGGTGGTCTATGACTGTATATAGTGAACCTACATCTAAGGATGCCCATATATAGTTATCCTGCCACTAATAGCTTCATTGAATCTATTCAAATGGTTATCAGGAGTCCCAAAAAGTCAATACACCCGACTCAGACGTAATTGCTCCAATTTTAATACCTATGTAGAACAAGCTGAGAAACTAACAACTACATTTATAGAAAAGGGATATAAAAGAGAGATTTTAGACATAGAGGTGAAGAGAATTGGAGAGATGAAAAGAGGAGATTTATTAATGAATAAAGTTAGGTCCACCAGCAATGATGATAAATCGTTTGAATTTTCATTCAGTACCCAATATAATTCTAAAACTTTTGCTATTAACAGAATATTTAGAAGACACTGGAATATACTCAAACATGATGAGTACATAGGTCCACAATTGCCTGAACATCCTAAGATTATATATAGAAAAGGGAGAAATTTCTCCAGTTTTCTTACTCCGAGCCTCTTCCAGAGGGACATACATGCCCGAACCAATACCACAAAGGGGTTCCACACTTGTGGAATGTGCAAAGCCTGTAGGGGACAACCGCTCCATACTTATTCCTTTTCCAGCTTTGTAACCAAAGAGGAATTCAAAATCCAGGGACTTGTCTCATGCTGTTCCTCACATGTTGTATACCTACTCACGTGTGGATGTGGTGCACAGTATGTTGGGAGGACAGTAAGAAAAGCTAAGACATGATTCCTGGAGCATAAGAATAACATCATTAAAGGAGTACTCCATCACTCCGTTCCGGTTCACTGCAATAAGTGCTCACTCTTTAATCAACATCATTTTTCATGGGTGGTGATTGAACAAATATCACTGGGTGTGAGAGGAGGAGACATTGTGATGAGATTAAGACAGAGGGAAGGATTCTGGATCCACAAACTAAAAACCCTTCAACCGTTAGGGTTGAATGTGGATTTTGATTTCATTTGTTTTCTTGAATTTTCTAAAAATTTTTGTATTTTTCAAGTTTCAGTATTATTTATATTTTATTTTCATTTTTATTTTATTTTTACTTTTATTTTGACTTATATTTACTTTCATTTTTATTTGTATTTTTATTTTCATTTTTATTTATTTATTTTTCTATTCTATATTGTTCTATTTTTCATATGGATATTCATTTTTATTCTTTTCATTATTTTCGTTTTATGTATATTTTTTATATATATATATATATTTTATATATATTTTTTATGCATATAATATATCTATTTCCATTGATCTAGTTTTATATTATTATCCTTTGAGTTTGTAGTATTGTGGAATAAGGAAGGAAATGGAGAAAAGTAAGAGGGAGAAGAAGCAGGAAATAAGGGTTATTCTTTGAAGTGAGTGAGGAAAGGAGGAATCAGCGGAAGCTATAGTGGAGATATGTCGTGGAGGTGTATGGGTAGGTTACCTCTCATCCATCCACAGACCTCGTCTCAGGCCCCCCATCTCCACTCTGCCCATCAGCAGTACCACTTACACCCCCATGTATCCTGTATGCAACTTAATGACCTCCATTTGTCTAAATATTCATAGGGATTAAGGATAGAGTGCACGTAACTGTTTCTTTTCTTTTTTGCTATATATTGGGGCTGATGTGTACTGTAGTCGTTGCTGCCGGCCCAGTAGTGATGGTAGTGAGCGCAGGACTTATCTTTTTGTATTTGTATTTACTTTGTATCACACAGCCTTGTTACAATGCTGCCACCCAACCCATGTGTTCTCTATTAAGGGTTAATAAGTATATAGGGGTGTATATAAAAAATACCCCTCTCTGTCTCATTAGAGATATCTTTGCCAGAAGCTCAAGGAAGCAGGCTGAAGGGTCAGTGCTTTAGGGGGGTCTGCCTTGACGTTAGCAGGCGGGCGTTCCCCCCAATGGACATTGGAGCAACTAAATGACCTCCATTTGTCTAAATATACATAGGGATAGGAGAGAGTGCAGGTAACTGTTTCAGTTCTGCTGTTAGTTGTTGTGGTTCACCAAAGACGTTGGACATGGTATCCCGCACCATCTCCCAGAAAGGAACGATTCGGGGTCAGCTCCACCATCCCCTCGCTCTGGTCGCATCTCCAGCAATGGAGGGAAGCAGCGAAGAATATCCTGTGAAGAAGGGTCGGGGTGCGGTACCAGCCTGACAATAGTTTGTAGTTTTTTTCTTGGTATCTGGAGCTGATCGAGCTCTCGTGATGCAGAGTGAGAACTTTTTCCCATTGCGTGTCCGTAAATGTTGTGTTCAGCCAGCCCTCCCATCGTCTTTTATAGGTCGTGTTCATGGGTTTATCCCAGTCAGCAATAGTTGGTATAGAACAGAGATGGAATTTTCCACAGTGACACCTATTTTGCACATGCTGTCAAACCACGTCGGGGCTCGATGTAATGCAATCCGATAAGGAATCTTCTTGTAATAGTGCTGTAGTTGGGTATGACGGAACTTAATAAGGGGTGTCTAACTCTCCTCTCCCAGAATATCCTCTAGCTTTTTCACACTGTCTGTTCCCAGTGCTTTGCGGATTGGGGTATTTGAGCTCCCATCGATGTATTGCCAGGCACTAGATGGTAAGCCGCCTCCCAGATGTTTATTGTGCTATAGGGGTATCAATGGGCTCAATGAGGGGGAGATATGTTACGCCCCACGCAGTGCTCTTCATGTGCTGAGGGTATGGACGATGGGAGAGTCAGCTACTGAACCCCCCAATGCCGTGGATCTTCCCAGCCAAGCCGCAGATTGCAGAGATTCATCTCCCCCCCCAGTCTAAAACGGGCCATTGTTGGTGGGGACAAGCCTCGTGCCAGTTCAGTATCCGCTGCAGAACCGTGCCTGGTGGTACTTTTTAAAGTTGTGAGCAAAAAAGTGGAATAGTGGTTGATGGAAGATATATCAGGCCTGATTTGCTAAACAGCAGCCAGAGAATTTTCAGTTAAATGCCCCAGGGAGAGATGTTAAGTTTGCAATATACATTGCTGATGCTCTGCAAAACACGGTATGGGTCCCTGGGGCGGAGCCTTTGGAGAGCAGGGTGGGCCAATGCTCCAACAGCACTAGTTGCTGTGTAACAGACCAGAATTTGGATTTAATTTAAGAGTTAACTAATTGGCACTCACCTGTAGCTGGTCAATTAGCAGACAGGCCTTTAAAAGAAGAGATCAGCCTGCTGCAGAGTGAGGGAGAAAAAGCCAGCTAGGAGAGCTGAAGGAGAGAGAACAACAATTGTGTTTATTGAAAATCTATTTCATTTTTATTGGAAAATTGGTAAGTGGGAAAGATAGTGATTTCTGTCTAGTAAGAGCTCAATTAAGAGCAAGGAATTTTGTTTTGTTTATTATTATTTGAAGCACCTGTTTTTCCTATCAAATAAAAAGGAAAACCGAACTGAATGTGTCCTGGACTTTGTATACCCTAGAAGGCTGTGGTTACTGTAAGATCTCTCACAAAATCCTACCTGTAAAAGAGGTAGTTTGTTACAAAGTTCAGAAGGGCCAGACCCCACACTGCCATGGTAAGCATAATACTTCTCGCGAAGGCGGGACCTCTCTCCCTCCCCACACATAGCGGATCACCGCCGTTTTTAATAAAGAGAAAAACGATTTGGGCAACTAGACGGTCACCGTCTGAAAGAGATAAAGCAGTTGAGGCATGATCTAGATCCAAATATTGATATTTGTTACATTCAGAGGAAGCCCAAATTATTATTACAAGTGCACTTGGAGGAGCGCGAATTAGACACCAGACACCTGTTGGTATTCAAAATAAGCCTCTGACCTTTATTTGACAGTGGTGTTTTTATACATTAAAAAGTAAGTGATGGGGGTTTGGCCTGGACACGGAGCGAGCTGGACATGTCTGACTAGAGCTCCGCTCCGACCATACTGCAAAAAGCCTATATTAGCATGCTAACACTACAAGCCGAGCCCGGTAAGATGGAGAAAAGGCCCGCCTAAAAACATCTAAAGAAGGGCCCGGAGTCGGCAGCCTCCTTAGCAGAGTTTTTCTCAGCCCCACATGCTGGACCCGCAGGCCCAAAAGATGGCGGTGACACAGACCTGGAGGCCTCAAGATCACCAGGGTCACCAGCTAGAGCTGCAGCCACGACTGGGGGAGCCCAGCGAACGGCGGAAACAGCACAAATCCTGGAAACCCTAGCAGAGGTTAAAACCTACTTGGCTGGGGAGATAGAGCGCTCCACACATATCCTGCGAGGGGAAATTCAAGCCATAGACGAACACACCACGAAGTTGGAAAACCACCTGGAAGCTACTACAACTGCACACAATGCAGCAACACACCAGGTGAACCAATTGAACACCATGATGGCGGCGGCAGAGCAAGCCATCGAGGACATGGCAAATAGGTCAGGCCGCAACAACATGCGCCTCAGGGGACTCCCAGAGAACTCAGGGGAAGGCCCAGTAGCAGACATACTGTCCGCAATCCTTAAGCCTTTGTTACCCGGCCTGCCAGATCACCTTTGGCACATAGAGCGTGCCCACAGAGCACTAAGCACCAGGAGGCTGGACATGAACACCCCGCGGGATATCATTATAAAATTCCTACACTTCCAGACCAAGGAAGCACTACTCAGGAGAGGCAGAGACGGCCCGATCACCTGCCAATGCACAGACCTGGCTTTACACCAGGACCTGGCGCCAGCCACTTTACGACGACGACGTGAGTGGAAACCCATTACCGATGCCCTGAGAGTGGCGAACATGCGCTATGCATGGGGATACCCCTTTAAACTGCTGGCCTTCCAAAATGGCAGGACTCACATCCTGCAGCCAGGTGACGACGCCACCCACGCTGACCGGCACAGGAGCACACCCACCTCTTCCGAGTAAGGTAGTGGGGGCACACTCTCTTGGGGCCGACTGGGCCTACTCGAGCCCACGGAGACCGCCAACTTGTGGCGAACGGGGGTTTTCAGGAATTGGGGAGGTGGTATGAAGGGAACTTCAAATACACGTGACTGGGGCAGGGTATTCCACACAAAGGGCTTCATAACACAGGCTGGGGAGCCACCATATGCCGTGACTTCCACAATATCGGGCCACAGCATATCCAGAAAATGGAGGCTTGGGTGGGGGAGCTAGGGACTGGGTTTGGACACGGGCAGGGTCTGAGGCTTAAAGTGAGATGAGCTCAAACTCCAAATCTGGATCGAGCCTAAAGCATAGGCCGCAAGTTACGGGACATTACATAACCACGTTGGCAGTCCTGGACCGCAGAAACGGTGACCACTTCATTTTTTAAAGTTGTTTTTTTTTTACCCATCAGAGTCCTCCTCATAAGGGCTCCCAGTTTTTAAATTCTATCTGTTATGTTTACTACCAATGTTTAACCGACATGCTACTACACTTGTTCGTTTGTTGTGACGTGGAGGGCCACAGGGGTGGGGGAAATGGAACTAGAAAGGACATAGCACAATCTGAGCTAATGCCTCAAACACCTATACCTGCCCAATGACCATAGAGGCGAACTAACACAGGTAGAGATCACACACGAGAGGTTGAGCATGCGCTCAATCTACATCTGATGTCGCAACTCAAAGGGATCTTATACGACACCACAGAGACTAGCTCTATGACTGCAAACCCTACGACGAAAGCATAACCAAGGCTCCACGGACACTCAGCATACAAAAGCGGGTTATCCGCAGAACACAACATGGCACAGACACCTCCCATAGATGCAGAGGTACACATACCCCAGCTAGCGACAGGCCCACGGACGGATTACTCAACTACCAATGAACTATCACTGACCTGACACGACTAAATATCCCCATTCTTTAGCATCTAGCACACCTGAACAGTGGACAACAATATTGATAACCCACCGTTTACTATACCAACATAAATTACAAATTCAATTCAAGAAGAATAGGCCATGCATGTATATGTACTCGCTGATAATGTTTTCTATATGGTTATGATTATGCTCATTCTATACAAATTGTTATCTCATGTTATGTGTATCTAAAAATCTGTCTACCTCCTTTCCATTCAAGCTATTCAAAATGGTTAGCGACGGAGTTTATAGTACAGGCAGAACGAGACGTTACTCTATTCAGGAACCAATGCCATGTGTAATCGTATTGCCCCATCCCACAGCCTGCGACATGGGGTGTTCCCAACTTATGACACTCCTCAGGGAGGAGCATAGGGAGCAACCCTGAACTCTTGACTGACTGGTACTCTACTAATACAACGAAGTATGTTTGCCCACCCGAATCGTCCCGCTGATGGGGAAGCCACAATACAACTTTTTTTGCTCAAGTAGAACTCCTACCACCCTGGAGTAAGTTCAACATTTCACCATTTTCCAATTCGGGCGTTCGATACCTATGACAGGCCCATACCTTGACGCCCAGGGATTGCTTCCCCTTGTTACACAGGGAGGACAAACGCAGGCCAAGGAAACAGACAACCTCCCCTCACGACGTAACCCTCGATTGGTCATGGGGAGCCCCTGGGGGGCCTCAATAGCCGCAGGTACCGCACAAACTCCCAGGATGGGGGTACTGCACCTTTCCCTCGGTCCCCCCTACACAATCATTATGTGAAGACACAGAGAGAAGCCTACCTCACAGAAGGTCCCCCGTCGAGGGGAAATAGGGAGGCTCCCGAAAGCTATTGGGCGCGGAACAATCTTCCAATGCCTGAAAAGGTTATCAACTTAGCATCATTACACAATCTAAAAGCGGTGTGGTCAATTTCTGGTACAGGAACCAACATCTCATTGTTGTTAGGGGAATGGGACTGGGAGCTGTGCCCCACACCGATCTGGCGACTGGTAAGACCAGACGTAATTTAGTTTTTTCTCTTTTTTACTCTCTTTCTATTCTCTATTTCCTTTCTTCCCCTATATCCCCATGTCATACGTCAGAATCAGTGGGCGTCTGGAGCCGAGAATTGGAGAAATACTGTAGAGCAAATGGAGCTCTGAAACGACAGGGACCTGGGGGTCACATGCCAATAATTGGCGTACTACTCAACCGCAGGGATGGTCTTAAAACTGACGTCTATAAACGTTAAAGGACTGAATGCCCCCAAAAAGAGACGACTGATGTTTAGGGAAATTAAAAGGCTAGGTTGGGGCAAAGCCTTCCTACACATTTCCAAACGCACAGCATTCCAATTGCGCGACCGCACATATTCCACTACCTTTGAAGCAAGATCACACCGATCTAGCACAATAAATGCCCAACCCACATACTAACCTCAGAACTAGATTCAGAGGGGAGATACATTTTTTGGACAAGAATCCTATACTCCACCCAGTCCACCTGATTCACATATATGCTCCCAATGCACCTGACACCGCTTTTTGGGGGTACCTAACCGCAAAAATTTTAATTAATACGGCATGCACATTATGAGGGGGGATTTTAACGCCGTGCCATGTCGAGCCGCAGACAGGAGCTCCAGAGCAGGCCAACAGAGGTCACAGGGTAAGGGGAGTCAGGATAAGTTACTACACGACTTCATCCAAGTCACCGGCTTGATAGACGTGTGGCGGGCACAACACCCCAGCGATCTAGACTATACGTTTTATTCTGCACCGCATGGGACATACTCCAGGATTGACCACTTCCTGGTAAACAACGCATGCATGGCTAGGGTAGTAGAATCGGCAATAGGGCCCATTACGTGGTCGAATCACGCTGACATCTCCCTAACACTGGGGAATCTCTGCACAGCATCACCATGGAATTGGAGACTGAGCCCCCACTTGCTGAGAGACCACGAAACACAAGCGGCAATACATACAGACATACGCGAACGAAACGCAGGACATGTCTCCAAGCATGGGCTGCACATAAAGCGGAACATGTATAAGACTAGCCACAAGAAAGAAGACACAAGAGACGCAGAGACTGACTCAACTACTAGACTCGTTGAGAAAGATAGAACAAAAACACAAGACGACACCAACCCCACAACTTCTAGAACAACTGAGAGAGACCAGAAGATCCATCACTCAATTACTCCTGGACGACACCGCTAAAGCTCTCACATGGTTCAAAACGACATATTATGAGAAGACGAACACTTCTGGCCAGAATTCTGCGTCTAAGACAGAACTGGACACACATCACCACGATCAAACACAAGGACTCCATTAAAAACACTCAGATATCGCGCAGGTCTTCACTGACTACTATAAGACGCTCTACAACCACACACCCAGAAACCCTACCGCACAGGAAGATGCGGAGACGCGCATGCACACCTTTCTGAAAGACCTAGACCTACCAAAACTTACAGTGCAGTGGCACTGTGTCGGAACCAACCTTGCCACTGGGCACTGGAGAAGTCTGATTGTTTGCCTGCTCCCCCTGGACTATGGCCCCATGTTAAACGCTGTTCTTTTCCCCTTTAGAAAGGCTTGTTCGTGCCTTTCGACCTGGGTGTTCGGTAGATGGAATCTACCGAACAACGCACGAATGGGGGGATCACCTGGGCAAGGAGTGTGCCAGTGATTTACCTCCCAGAAACTGCGGTTAACCGCAGCTTAATTGGCGAACGCTGGGTGGCCGCTGTTCGTATAACCGAACACGTGGCAGCGGCCATCTTAAACTCCCGAATGGCCAGTGGTGTTCAGCTCCAAATCTATGGAACTCAAAACAGACACTTATTTGCACGAACACTGCTGAGCCGCCGACCTCCCTTCTCCTGCAATTCATACGAACGCCGCCCATTCGGTACTTTCCCTATGTGAGCAGTGTTACCCCACATAGCTATACCATGGAGCCCATTCGTGTAACGAAAGACTATGTGAAAGACTTTGGCTCTATGGCGATTGAACTGTATGTATGTGATCTGAGCGCCATTCGGTAATAATGTGCGCTCAGATCTGAGCTATCTGGGGATATGTTGAATGTATATGTTCTATGTAGTAATTGTAACACTGTGTAATTTTATGTCTTTTTACTAACATGTGGCTAATGGAGTTTTGCCACTGTCCTTGGAGATAATTGGATTACTTCCCAATTATCTCCAGGAAAGAGAGGAGGGATTACAATGTGCATGTGGGAGTGGTTAAGGTTAAACTGTCCTGATTGGTTACTGTCCAGTTTGTGTCCCATTGTCCCACCAGGTCCCCTATGGGAGTGTCCACCTGGTGGGAAACCTGCATAAATACCGGGCAGGTAGCCCAGATTAAACAGATCACTGCTTGACCCTCAAAACGAAGTGTGGTCTCGTTCTTGGGGGGATTTGATTGTATGCTGTTACAGTTCGACTGCCAGGAGTGTAAACTGTTCGTATGGTTTTTCATGTTCGGCTGTTTACAGCATTCGTATGGTACCAGTTCGGGAGTTGGAGAATTTGTGTTTCCAGTTTGGGAGTTGGAGAATTTGTGTGTTTCCTGTTCGGGAGATTTGTGCTTGCAGTAGCTGCCTGTGTATCTGGAAGGGAATATCCTCTAAATGTCTGTTTAACCTCTTGTGTGCCTGGGGGTGCCGTTACAGGCACTACACCTGAACAATAACATCACTGGAGAAGAAATACATAAGGCAATAGCAGGGCTTAAAGGAAACAAAGCTCCAGGACCGGATGGCTTCGATGGGGTGTATTACAAGACATTCTGAGAAGAACTCTCACCCCGATTAGAACGTCTTTTTAACGATTTCATGGAAGTGGGGGGGAGAGCGGGGTATTCATGGGTGAAAGGAGTACAGATAAGACATAGGGATGAACATCATGTACATCTAACAAACTAGTTCAGAGAAAGAACAGAATGATTTGAGAAGAGACAGCTCAGGTGGGGGCTATCTGCTCCCGGAACGAGACATATATGGTCTTAAGTGTCGTTTTAAGCATCAAGCATTTCCTGAGTCTAAGTTAGCCAATTTTAATATAGGATATCATAACATAACACCTATAAGCTTGAGCCTTGGAATCAAGATAAATTCTATCACAGGCAAGCTGTTGAGAACTGCCACGCGGCCCACCCACGACAACTGCGGGTACGTCCATCGCTTCAGATCATCCAGTACTTGACGTAGTAGGGACTCATAATTAGTGTGATACAGATCATTCTGGTCTTCCGTCACCCACGTGCCCCAGTATTTCATTTTCTGCGTGCACCAGTGAAATGGAAAGTGTGGGCATAGGTTTGCGAAGTACAATTTTGGGATGGAGATATTCAACACCTCACATTTCTTGAGATTGAGGCTAGATATACCCCCATATTCATCGAATTTCCTCATCAAACATGGTAAGAAGATCCACGGATTGGCGAGGACAAAGAGAAGATCGTCTGCATAAGCCACCACCTTATGCTCCGTGTTCTTTCACTGAAAGCCGGAGATGTCGCGGTTTTGGGAATATGCAATTTAGTTTCACAAAAAAATCACATTTTTGCCTCATTCCATTTTAAACATGGATTCCTTTGAATCTGTGTTTGCTGTATACAACAGCTTTGAAACATAACTTAGGAAAAGATGCAAAGCCATTAAACCACTCATGGACAGTTGTTTCATTGTTAAGGCAAATCATCAGCATGAGGTTGATTACGTGTTTGCTTATTGAGGCTTGGCAATGCTTGGGAAGCAAATTCCAGGTTATGGTGGGGAAAAATTGTGATTGAAAAACCCTTCCACCTGAAGTATGTTGATAGTTAATACAATATTAAACAAAAATCTGTACATCAGTCAAGCCATAAGACTTTCTTTTCCCACTGAAATTAAAAATCTGTAGTGATGTTACTATAGCAAAGGATTCTGGGTGGGCATATGCAAATTAGTTTAACAAAGCACTACCAAGCCTTAATAAGCAAACCAGTAACCAACCTCATGCTGATGATTTGCATTAACAATGAAACAGCTGTCCATGAGTGGTTTACTGGCTTTGCATCTTTTCCTAAGTTGTGTTTCAAAGCTGTTGTATACAGCAAACACAGACTCAAAGGAATCCATGTTTACAATGGAATGAGGCAAAAATGTGATTCTTTGTTAAACTAATTTGCATATGCCCACCCAGAATTCTTTGCGGTAGTAACATCACTGCAGATTAGGCCCTGGGGAGATAGCGCAGCTAAGCGGACAAGGACACATGTAGGAGTGTGGGGATAGATGCATGGGATTGGTTGGGAAAGAGTGTGTGGGTGGGATTATGTTCTGTATAAGTTAGTGTGGGGGAGGTCTTACCTCAGTGTCACTTAGGATTCGGGCCAGCAAACAGCTTCCTGTCCTGCTGCTCCTGTTTGCCTGGGCCTGCAGATTTAGGAATGGAGGTTGAGGTTTTCTGGCTTCCCCCAGAGCTGCATCAGCGTGGATGGTGGCCGGCAACTCCTAATTCAGGTGCTCCCCTCTCCCCTAGGTGGCTGCTCCCCCCCGCGGCCTGTCTGCATCTGGGGCCTTCCCTGTGGCCCCTGCTCCCCTCTCCCATGGTGGCTGCCAGTGTGGGTGCTCCCCCCCGCGGCCTGTCTCCATCTGAGGCATTTTCCTGTGGCCACTGCTTTCCTCTCCCCTGGGGGATGGCTGCCTGACTCCTCTCCCCTGGGGATGGCTGCCTGACTCCTCTCCCCTGGGGGATGGCTGCCGGCGTGGGTCCCCCTCCCGCGGCCTGTCTTCATCTGGGGCCTCCCCTGTGGCCCCTGCTCCTTGGGGGCCAAGTTGGGGCCAGCCGGCATTCCCCCCGATACTGCTCCTCGGGCCCGGTTGAGGAGGTGGAGCCCGGGCCGAAAGGCATCACCTGGCCACGTGTCTGAAGCTCCAGACACGCGGCCTTCAACTGCTGCAGAGGATGCGCGGCCTACGTGGCCTTACCCTCCTACAGCCGGTTCGCCGGGGGCCTTCCAGACCGCCGCATGGCTGGCGCGGCGGCCGGGTCGTGACCCCGGTGGAGAGTTGGGTCCTGTGGGCCACTCGGGGTATTAAGGTACTGCCGTTGGGGGGGACACCTCTCCTGGGGGGGCCTCCTCTGCCGGTGAGGATGGCACCCAGGGGGTCTCTCTCCCCTGCCCCCCACCCCTTTTCAATTTTCCTCTCTCCCCTTCTCATGTTCTGGTACTGGGGGCCCTCCTTTTTGCTTCCCTGGGGGGGGGGCATGTCCTCTCCCGGTGTCCCCCTGGGTTTTCCTATTGTCTCTGCTGTGCTTTCCCCCCCTCCCCATCGCTGTTCTTTCTCCCCCTCTCGCTGTTCCCTCCTTCCTTCTTGCTCTGTTCCTCCCCTGCTCTTACCTGTTCCTGTCTCTTCTGGGTCTTCTCTGCCTTCAGCTCTTCACTCTCTGGGTCTCCTCTTCTCTCTGCCGGTTACTTATCTCGGCTGCCTTCTGGTGGAGCGTGGGCTCACCTACACGTGCTTTCCTCACAGGTCCTGGCTGCAGTTCCTCAGAACGCCCAGCAGGGGGCGCCTGGAACACCTTAGAAAGACACAGTGGACGCTGAATTCTTTGTCTTCTGCCAGGACTGTCTACACTTGTTATGCTGCGGGCGGTACGCCGGGCATTGGCTGGTGAGTATGTTGTCCCTTCTTGTATCCGGTCAGGTTCCTTTAGAGGGGGGTCTTAGCGCGCGCGAAAAAATAAGTACATTTTTTTAAATACAAAAAAAAGGAATAAATTAAAAATTTGGAAATTTCAGCATAAATAAAACTGAATGAATACATAAATAGAATGTGAAGTAAAAGATAAAAAAATTATCATATGTTTTAGTACAGTTTCCTGAAGCGTCCTGCGCAGCTAATAGCGCTGGCGTTGCCTCCCGGGAGGTGGGCGGATAGGGTGGCACAGGACACTGCTGCAGGGCGCTAGTATGGCCTCCTTGACTTGCGCATGTCGCGAAATACTGGGGGAGCAGTGGTGAAGGCGTTGTTTATTGGTGATATGCTCCCTCATGCCGCGGGGGGCCCGGTGCTTGGGACGGACTCCAGGAGGGGCATGGGGGGAGGGGGAAATACCGTAATCGGTTGCACCCCATGACGCGTGGGAAGTGTGTCTGGGCATCATATGTTCTGGATAGCATTGTCGGGGAGAGGGCTCCCCGGGTATGCTCCACGTTGTTCTGCGGTCCGGGCACCCTCGTTCCTAGGGTGAGCTGGGTTGGTGGCATAAAAAAAAAAAAAAGGACAATGGGTTCCTTGTGCGTTCCAGCATGAGAGCTCTAGTTGCAGGGGGGCCCATCCTGTCCCCAGCGGTTTTTCATGCGGGCAATCTGTCGGGATAGGGGACGTGGATGCTCTCTGAGCAGAACCTTTCGGCCCATATGAGACTTCCATCGGGTGTTGCGGAAGCAATTTTAGGGTGCCCCCGGAGTCCGCTCCGTGGGGCCCCCCTGGGGTCATGGTGACCATGGAGGGGCAGGGTCAATATCGCATGATTTCTTATTTACTCAGCTGTTGTTCCCTCCAAGGGGTTAGGTATGGGAGGGCATGACACAACGGTCCGCGTGGTTGGGGCTCTGGGGCCTTGCTGACAAAGGCAGCACTAAAATCGGCTTTCTGGCTACTGGCAATGCGCCCGGCAGGTTATTGTTTTCCGGGCCGTATTTCTGACGGTCGGTGTTATGTGGCTATGTGCCTCCGCACGGGTTGCTCTTAATGTGGCTTATGTGTGGGGCCGACTGTGTCGCACGTCGTGCTTGGCTGCTGTGGTGTTTTTCTTGGAGTAGTGTTTCAGCGTTTCAGAGTTCCGTTGGTCAGGATACGTGCGGTAGTCTCCTGGATAGTGGGATCGATTCCGCCTGGTGGCTTGTGCAATCAGGCCCCCTAAGTCCTTTCCACTGACTTCTACCTGTTGCCTCTGCAGCGGGCTTGGGTTTTTTTGGGGGCCATTATGGGTTTTCCATGTTGCTGACTCTTGCCCAGTCAGCTGGCAAGCATCGGGGCTCTTGCAGACTCTGGCTGTCTTGGAGCTTCGCATTCGGTTTGCATGGTAGGCGTGGGGTACCCAGCTCACGGACAGGTGGGTAGTTCTTCTGGTGAGACACGTGCGGTGGTGCAGGCTGTCTATATCATGTGACAGTCCCCTTTACCCCGGGGGTACTCTGGTTGCGGCGCCTAACACGGCGGCGTTTGAGCCTGGAAGTGTCTGGTCAGGCGGGGTTTTCCCGGGGGTTCACAAGGTAATGGCAGGTGCTCTATCTGGTTCACTGTAGGATGAACTTCGGGCGGGGGCTACATTATAAGGCAGTGGAGTCATGGTCGCTTGGTCTAGCGGCTGATGAAGCTGGTCCATGGGTCACTCTCTGAGGCGGTGTGGGGCCCGCTACAGTAAAGTGGAAGCGATCGGGCCGGATGAGTGCATTTCCTTGGCAGCTTCCCGCTCATGTTTCGGTCATCTGCAGATGGGCAGGAGTTTAAGTGGATCGAGTAAGCATTGGAATGGACTTCCTTCAGGCTTTCGCCACTCAACGGCTGTTGTATTTGGGAAAGGTAAGTTGGTAGCGGTTGGCTGATTCATCAATGGAATCTATTCCATTCTTGGACGTTGCAGGGTTGACATAACTGGGCCCTTTCTGCTTTCTCTTGAGGTAGATGGAATGCACAGGGTGATGGTTGAGCTCCTAACTGGATGTACTAGGTTCCCAGGATAGTTGGATTTATACCATTCCGATTGGGGGGAGCGCCGGGTTCCGACATGTGTCCTGTTTTCCTTTGGTGAGGGCTATTCCGCCCCTGGGTTATTCCTGCGTCCATGTCATTGGGGTGCTCCAATGGGGCTCGTATTTCTGGGTATGGATGGTGGAGAGTTCAGGGGGCATTCAGTCCGGTTAGCGGCGGCTACAGACGCCACCAGGCTTGGCGTGCTTGCGCCACTGGTTCAAAGTGCTTGAATGGTGAGGGTCAGGGTGGTAGGTTCCTTGGGTTCACCCGGCCGGTCGACGAATGGATTTCTCTCCGCGGTTATGGTCTCCCCCCACCCCACCCCCGGAATAGGGATGGTGGGATGCTCATATGTAATTTGGGCCAGGACGCTGGGGGTGAGTGGTTGGCTCTTACACCTTCGGGAGCGGAGGTTCGGTGGTCTGGCAGATACATGAGGGGGGTGTGGCTCCTCCTCATACGGGGTCAGCTGTCCTGCCTCATGGGAGTACCGGGGGTTTTGTCATCCCTGGGTGGAATGACATGGGTTCGGTGACGGTTTAGGATTTGGGTGCTCTTAAATCTGGACATGTTACGCATTCTGTTTCTTCCAAAGGTTCTCAGGGGCTAGGCTGAGGCTATCGTCCGTTCCTGTTGGCAGTGAGCTCAGCAATGTGAGTGCCCTGGTGCGCTGCCGTCGAAATTCGGAAGAGATGGGTTTCTAGGTTTGTCTTGGGGGCTTGGAGGATTCCAGTTCGCCTTAGGGTTTGGCCGGATGTGGCCTGGTTATCTCGAGGGGATGGGTGCGCTTGCTGGAGGTCGTACTAGGCCTATGTTAATCTAGCGCTGTAAGTGGTGGAACAGGCCATGGCTGGTTGTAGTGGGGTCCCCCACTGATTTTAGGTGTAAAACAGCGGGGTTGTGGCGGGGGTATGTCCTTGCCAATTGAGTTTGAGGGGTTACGTTTAAGTATATGGAATGAGATGAACAGGTTTTTAAGGTCTCAACCTCCCCTGCTTCAAACGGTTAACATTAGGTTGCCTGAGGTGTCGTGCCCATCGAGCAGTTTCTGGCTGGTGTGCACACTTCCTTTCAGTCCGGCCAGAAACTGAAATTTAAGTTCCTGTACCATGGTGCGCGCTGTTCTGCCGGCCCACGCTACAATACAGGTAAGTAACTAAGGGAAAAAAATACAAGAAAGGGCTGCGCTTGTATAAAACTTCAAATAATACAAAAAGTCCAGATAAAATCAATGGATAAAAGGAGAAAGTCTTATCTGGCAATGTCCGTTGAAATCGTATTATATGATGGTACTTGGTCCAAAGCAGTAGTCTTACTTGTTATCTTCCTTGTAGGTCGTCTCATATGCAAGAGAATAAAAACAAATACAGAGCCAAAATAGTGTAGTATATCTTGAATAATAAAGGAAGTTGAAATGTAAACCTTGATTGCAAACTCACATTTAAAAGAGCTAAAACCCGCTCTGGTATAAAGGGCGTACAGCGGTTTAGATCCCCGCTTGTAGGATATGGAAATGACTCTCCTTTGTGTACTTCCTCCTTCCGTAGTATGAAAGACACTCAAGTAAAAAGAGACAGCCAATAGTGTTCTCTAAATAAAAACTAAGGATAAAATATATATAAAATAGAAGTGGATACTCACAAGACAGGAGCAGATCAACTGCTCCTGGTAGTTCGCGTTGGTGGTATAATCCCCACCTAGGATTGCTTGGAGTCCAACGAATAAAAAGGAATGGTGCCAGGTAACAATAATAAATATATGTGTATAAAAAGATAAATGGTACGATAAAAGGTTACCAAATATGCTTTAATATTTAAAATTACACAATATAAAAACCATAAACGCGTTTCGCCAGTCGGCGTTATCAATATGGGGAAAGAGTCTTTCTGTGTTTTATCTAAGGGTCTTCGAGGGATTCCCTTATAGGGTTGCTGCTAATCTGTGTTATTTAGCGCTTACTCATTGTTCTGGTTTTATTAAGTAACTAAGGGACACTATAGCAGGGAAAGATCACTATGGGACAAGGGGAGGGGGGGAGAACACTATGGGATGAAGGGAAAGAACACTATTGGACAAGGGGAGGGAGGAAGAACACTATGGTATGGTGGGACATTATGGGATGGGGACACTATGGGTTAAGGGGAGGGGGGTTAAAGAACACTATTGGACAAGGGGAGGGGGAGAACACTATTGGACAAGGGGAGGGGGGTTGAAAATCACTATGGGACAGGGGAGTGGGTGGTTAAAGTTCACTATAGGACAGGGGAGGGGGGGGTTAAAGATCACTAGTGGTTGGTAAGGAACACTATGGGACTGGGGTGTGTGTTAAGAAACACTATGGGGCAGTTTGTTCAGAATATTTTTTTTCTGGGTTTCCTCCTCTAAAAACTAGGTGCGTCTTATGGAGCGAAAAATACGGAATATGTATTTTGCTTGATTACCATCTATTGATTACTCTAGAAGGAATACACCTTTTATTATAAGGTGCTGTGTCCAAGAAACTATTGGTTGAAAAATGTATGTCCCTCTTTTTTTAGTTAAATATTTGCTGTGTGAGAGTAACGCTTATATTAGTGTTATACTAACCTAATAATTCTGTGATAGTTTTGGCTACATAATACAAATTTATAACCATGTCCTGCTGTCACTATCTCTACCCCCCACCATGCAGGCCCTTGTCTTTGTTTTGTTTTCTTAATGGGTTCGGAGACACTTTCTTTTCTCCTATACCCATGGCCTACACTACTTTTGTATATATTTTATTTTTTTCTAATTTGGCTTCATTCAGAAGTCAGAATTCAAGTTTTTATCAGTAATTTTTTGTAAATTTTATTTTTCCTTTTTTGTCCCCTGGGCAACCTTCCAATTAATCAATATTATTTTTACAGATTATTCTGCTAACAAATTATTTCATGGATACATGATACATACGATAGACAGAGTTATGTTTACCATTTAACCTTTTGTATTTCTGCTTTGCTTTGATTACTCTTGTGCAGATGTTGTTGTAGGCCTTTCAGTTAAAGCTAGATTTGACAAAACAAATAATAGTCTATAAAATTATTAATTTGTTATGGTATTAAAAATACTGTTGTAACGGCTACCCAGGTAGTAAGAGGGTATCAGCCGTTGGAGACGTCCTTTTCTTCCCGGCAAGTCGCTGTATAATAATGGAGTCGCTTATTCCCATCCGCTGGATCCAAGGCAGGAGTCAGGTAGAGCTCTTAAAAGAGCTAAGTGATTATGCTGCATAATCCCTTTCAAGAACGAGACAAGGCTACGTTTTGAAGGGTCAAGAAGAACTGGCTTTTAATGGCAGGCACTCTCTTTTTATGTGATTCTGCCCATGCAAGGGAGACACCCACATAATTAACACAACAACCAATAAAACATAAGGTACATCCCATACATCTCCTCCCCTCAGATAAGCTTGTAACACAATTATCAGAGACACATTTTTCCCCAAGTTTTGGATGTACCCTGTTACGATTGCCCCGGTCTAGCAGGGGGGTTGATCGCTTGGAGGTCCTGGTTCCCGCTGTAGAGAGTCAAACGGAGGTCCTTTGGTAATAAGCTGCAAGTGTAGAATATCCCAAACACGGTGTAAGCATCAAAATCCTGGATCCCTACAACATGAGTCGAGGCTGCAAGTTGAGGGTCAAAACGAACTGGCTTTACTGGCACACAAACATGGCAATTTATGCGATTCCTCAGGTCCAGCGGGACCTCGCCTCCAACTTATGGAACTGAACTCAGGTATAAGTTCATGTGAATCCCCGCAGTCTGTCTGGTAGTGGAACTCGTTCGGTACATGAATGAGGACCACCTGGTAGCACGGTACTTGAGTTGCGGTTAACCACAGAAACCACAGGCTAATTGCTGCCACACGACCCACTGTAGGGGGTCTCCATTCGTGAGGTTATTCGGTAGGTTCCCTTTGGTGATTTGTGGGCGAACGTCAATCCTCCTGGTCCGTCAATTAGTCTGTGGTTAACCGCAGACCGCAGCCGCCCGGGTGGTTAATGGGTGCCACACTCCGACCGTTCGGTACTTTGCGGGGTGAAGAGGTTAATTGGGGGCACACGCCAGCGTTTGGGGGGTCTCTCGTTCGTATCACGAATGGGTCTTTATAAGAATTCGTATAATCCATTTGTGTTTCCCCGTGTTAAACGTATAGGGTTGTAACAGTAGCAACATGTAATAACAATAATGAAGTCATTTAGAGTCTTTTGTAACAATGCTCCCTCTTTGTGGAACACTCTGGCAGACACTGTCTGACCCCTTTTCGGGGCAGACTAAGGCTGTCCAGACTGCCAAGTTAGGCTGGGCTGAGGTCAGTTTGCCGGGATAACCAGTCGGCGTTGCCATTCTGCTTCCCGGGTCGGTAGGTGATTGTAAAATTAAACGGTTGCAAAGATAAGCTCCAGCGTAACAACCTGCCATTATCCCCAGCGACCCGGTTTAGCCACACCTACGGGTTATGGTCTGTAACCAGAGTGAACTCTTGTCCATACAAATAGGGGGTTAACTTCTTTAGTGCCCACACCAGGGCCAAACACTCCTTTTCTACCGCGGCATAGCTGACTTCGCGTGGTAGACGTTTCCGACTGATGTAGGCAATCGGGTGCTCTTTCCCATCGTCTCCTACTTGGCTGAGGACAGCTCCCAGCCCGAACATGGAAGCATCTGTATGGACAATAAAACGTCGATTAGGGGCTGGGGCAGCCAAGACAGGAGCATTAATCAAAGCAGTTTTGAGCGCTTGAAAAGCAGTTTCACAGTGGGGAGACCACAGGACCTGTCGGGAAGGTTTTTCTTTGTCAGGTCGGTCAGAGGTTTGGCAATAGCGCTATATTCGGGTAAAAATCTCCTGTAGTACCCGGCGGTACCCAGGAAGGCTTGCACTTGGGTCTTAGTGTGTGGGGTGGGCCAGTTTGCGACCGCCTCTATCTTAGCCAGCTCCGGTCGCTGCTTCCCGCCTCCTACTCTGTGGCCAAGGTACTGTACCTCAGCCATCCCAAAGTGGCATTTCTCTGGCTTCAGGGTCAGGCCCGCGGCCCGAATCTGATCCATGACTATTCCTACATGAGCTAAGTGTTCCTCCCAGGACTCACTATGGATCGCTATGTCGTCCAGGTATGCGCAGGCAAATTCCTGGAAGCCATCAAGGAGTCTGTCCACCAAGCGCTGGAATGTGGCGGGGGCATTCTTCATCCCGAACGGCATGACCTTAAAGTGGTACAAACCGAACGGGGTGACGAATGCCGATTTGGGGACAGCCTCCCTGGCCAGAGGGATTTGCCAATAACCTTTACAGAGGTCAATGGTAGTTAGATAGTTCTCCCTGGCTATGCAATCCAGCAGCTCATCCACTCTGGGCATGGGATAAGCATCGGTGATGGTCTTTTCATTGAGTTTCCGATAGTCTACACAGAATCTGGTAGTACCGTCTTTCTTGGGTACCAGAACCACTGGGGATGCCCAGGGACTATCGGAAGCTTCAATGACCCCTAGCCGGAGCATCTCATCTATTTCCTTTTTCATGCCTGCCCGCACTGCCTCCGGAATTCGGTAGGGGGTCTGTCTTAAAGGGTTTTGCCCGGGGGTATCTACTTGGTGGGTGGCCAGATCAGTGCACCCTGGTTCCTGAGAGAACATGGCTTGTTTCTCTCGGAGCAGTTTGTGTAGCTGCTCCCTCTCTACTTGGTTAAGTCTGTCCCCGATCTGTACTTGGTTCACTACTTCAGACGAGGAGTTGGGGGTCAATAAGTCGGGTATGGGGAGACTATCTGCGTCCTTAAACGCAGGACTACATATGGCTGACACCTCCTCTGGCCTCTGTAGGTATTCTTTCAGCATATTCATGTGAAATATCTTCCGTAGGTTCTCATCGTGACAGCTGGCAATCACATAGGTAGTGTCCCCCCTTTTCTCCACTATCTGGTAAGGACCCTGCCAGGCTGCTTGCAGCTTGTCTGCTTTAACTGGTTTTAGTACCATAACCTTCTGTCCTATACAGAAGCTCCTCCGCCGTGCCCCCCCGGTCGTACCAGACTTTCTGTCACCCCTGGGACGCCTGGAGGTTGGCCCGGACTGACTTAGCCAACTGCTCCATACGGTCCCGCAGCTCCAGCACGTATGGCACGATGGGGACCCCGGCGTTTTCTGTCTCTCCCTCCCAGTGCTCACGGATAAGGTTCAGGGGGCCCCGTACCTTACGACCGTACAGCAGCTCAAAGGGAGAGAACCTCGTGGTATTCTGGGGCACCTCCCGGTAAGCAAACAGGAGATGCGGCAGGAAACGTTCCCAGTCTCTATACTCCTGAGTGAAGGTTTTTAACATTTGTTTGAGGGTTCCATTGAACCTCTCACATAGCCCATTGGTCTGAGGGTGATACGGGGAGCTGAGGAGGGATTTTATCTTGCAGACATGCCATAGCTGCTGGGTCAGCTCTGCCGTGAACTGAGTCCCTCTGTCGGATAGGATCTCCCGAGGGAATCCTACCCGAGAGAATACCTGCACTAACGCATTAGCCACCGTGTCTGCCTGGATATTAGATAAAGCCACGGCTTCCGGGTAGCATAGTCCACGATGGTAAGAATATATCTATTACCAGATGGACTGGGGGTGGCTAGAGGCCCGACTAAGTCGATGGCTACCCGGCTAAATGGCTCTTCGATAATGGGCATGTTAACGAGGTGTGCCTTGGGGTGGTCTCCTCTCTTGCCTACCCATTGGCAGACCTCACACGTGTTACAATAGGTCCTCACATCTGCATGTACCCCTGGCCAGAACAGGGTATGGGTAATGTGGTGAAGGGTACGGGTTACTGCCAAGTGTCCGGCTAAGGGAATATCGTGGCCCACCCGGAGGATATCTCATCTATATTTGTGGGGTATTACTAGCTGTCTCCTACGGTGGCCCTTCTTCTCTGTGTCGGTACAGTCGGCCCTGTTCCCATGCAAACGTCTCCTGGTCTGATCCCCCAGTCCCTGTATCAGCTCTTTCCCTATACTTCTGGAGTGTCGGATCAGTTTTGGTCTCAGCCTCAAAGGCTGCAGGGGTGTCCCAGGGTAAGGGGGCAGGATGGGTGGTCACAGTCGGGTTAAGTCTTACCTGAGTCTCCCGCACTGGTGAAGGATCTCAAACTCGCCCAGCTTGGGACCGGGTAGTCACTGGATGTGCCTCAGAGTTGTCGGAAGGTGCATATGCTGAAGTCATGGGACCCAGGTCATTTCCCAGCAAAACTTCCCTGACAGGATACGTGGCCACGCTGTGACTATTTGATGTAGGGCACATTGTCTTTCGAAATCGGCTAAAAACTCATCTATCCCCATCCGCACGAACGGCTTGAATGCCGCGAATGGAATTTTCGGCTGTTCCGCAGGTTCCGGGAAGCCGTTGTGGCCATTAGCGGTTGCTCCCTGCTGTGCGGTCACCATGTTGAGTTCGTGGGTTCTAGCCCGTTGTATGTCCGCCTCTGCCATCAGTTGCTGCACCAGCTCTACGGAGGGGTTTGGCCCGTATAGAGTAAGTCTTTCCTGGACAATCCTCGTCTTTTCGTCGCTGGGGGTTACCGTTGGTTCTGCCATGGTGAAGCTTTGATCCAACTCGTTTAGGTCGGCAATCAATTCTCTCCTTGGCCGGTTACTTGCGTTTCCCCCTCGGCTCTCAAGTAAATCCTTTAGCGTGGTACGTTTCAGCTTATCGTAGTTGCTCTCCATCCGTCCTATATCTCTCTCAGGAATTCCAGGATGATCCCGCCGCTGCCACCAATTGTTACGATTGTCCCCGGTCTAGCAGGGGGGTTGATTGCTTGGAGGTCCTGGTTCCCGCTGTAGAGAGTCGAACGGAGGTCCTTCGGTAATAAGCTGCAAGTGTAGAATATCCCAAACACGGTGTAAGCATCAATATCCCGGATCCCTACAACATGAGTCGAGGCTGCAAGTTGAGGGTCAAAACGAACTGGCTTTACTGGCACACAAACATGGCAATTTATGCGATTCCTCAGGTCCAAGGACAGCCCCCTGTGGACCTGATGGAATACAGGAACAGTACAAACAGGTAACCAATCACAGTACAGTGTATCATTTGAATTAGTACCCGCCCAGCTTGGAGATAATGAGGCCAACGGTTATACAATCTAATTATCTCCAAGCGCACAAAAGACCACATTTTATTATGCCTCATAAAACTGTATAAAAATACATAACTTTAACATCAATAGGGGAAAACAGTTCATTCTACCATTCATTCAATAGCTCGCGTTCGGGTACATTAAACATACGAATGGCGCTCCAATCCCACGAACAGAATGATCTATTTCTGCCATATAAAGTCCGTTCGGTATTTTGGATCGTGAGTCCCTGATGGCGGCCATGTTTTTAGATGGTTTAACGAGCAGCGGGACCTCGCCTCCAACTTATGGAACTGAACTCGGGTATAAGTTCATGCGAATCCCCGCTGTCTGTCTGGTAGTGGAACTCGTTCGGTACATGAATGAGGACCACCTGGTAGCACGGTACTTGAGTTGCGGTTAACCGCAAAAACCACAGGCTAATTGCTGCCATGTAGGGGGTCTCCATTCGTGAGGTTATTTGGTTGGTTCCCTTCGGTGATTTGTGGGCGAACGTCGATCCTCCTGGCCCATCAATTAATCTGTGGTTAACTGCAGACCGCAGCCGCCTGGGTGGTTAATGGGCGCCACACTCCGCTTGTCGGGTGGTCGACCGTTCGGTACTTTGCGGGGTGAAGAGGTTGATTGGCAGCACACGCCAGCGTTTGGGGGTCTCTCGTTCGTATCACGAATGGGTCTTTATAAGAATTCGTATAATCAATTCGTGTTTCCCTGTGTTAAAGTATAGGGTTGTAACAGTAGCAACATGTAATAACAATAATTGAGTAATTTAGAGTCTTTTGTAACACACCCCAAATACTTGGGGTACATGCATAAATCCCCAGATAGCCCTATTCTGGGGGACCAACATACTAAAAATTCAGCTCATTCGGTTCAGGAGATATGGAGCTTTAAAGTTTTGACCGACCGCACTGGCAAAGTGGCCGAAAATAGTTCCATGAGTTGCGGTCGGTCTTTGTTTGTGCGTAAAAAGTCCTGAACGGTTTGCCATCCGTGCATAACTCGACATTTTCCAGAATCCCCATAGGCTTGTTCGGTAGTTGTAGCACGATTTCCCGGTGCTATGGAGGTCTCAGCGGTGTTCACCTACTCGAGTGTCCGATTTTAGTTCCAGACACTCAATGGCAAAACACCGCTGTTCGGGAGTTAAGATGGCCGCGAACACGTGTAAGTCCTGAAATGGCGGCCACCCAGGCACTTTGCAAAGCGTTTGTGGGTTTTCTCTGTGAAAGTACTTGTGGATCAGGGAGGTAAATTACCCATTATTAGGGAGCAGGGTGTTCGGTAGTTTGCATTCGTATGATGAATGCTTCAAATGTACCGAACTGATGCATAGTAAAATCCTCATAAAAGCAGGTTAGGCTCTTCCATGTGTTACATGGCTCCCCTTTTGTGGAACACCCCGGCAGACCCGGATTGATCCTTTTTGGGTCAACTTGGGACTGTCCGGCTGACGGTTAGGGCCGAAGTTCGGTTTGCCTGGACAGTCCATCTGCGTTCCCGTTGAACTTGCCAGGCCGATATTGAATGGAAAAATTATATGATTGCAGCGCCAAGCTCCATCGCAATAAGCGCCCATTATCTCCAGCCACTCAATTCAACCATACTAGAGGGTTATGATCAGTTATAAGTGTAAATTCCTGATCATACAAATACGGGGTAAGTTTCTTTAACGCCCAGACCAGGGCTAAACATTCCTTCTCCACTGCCGTGTAACTCACTTCTCTGGGCAACAATTTTCTACTTAGGTACGCGACAGGGTGTTCTCCATCTTCCCTGATCTGGCTCAGAACTGCCCCCAGTCCGTACATAGATGCATCTGTATGGACGACAAATCTTTTGTTAGGGACGGGGGCAGATAGAACAGGAGCGTTGATTAGTGCTTTCTTTAATGCTTGGAAGGCTGTTTCACAGGAGGCAGACCACAGGACTATTCTAGGCAGGTTCTTCTTAGTTAGGTCCATCAGTGGCTTGGCGATGCTACTATAGTCAGGGACAAATTTCCTGTAGTATTCTGCTGTCCCTATGAAGGCCAATACCTGGGTCTTGGTGTGGGGTGTGGGCCAGTTGGCCACGGCCTCGGCTGGCTCTGGCCGCTGTTTCCCACACCCTACCCAGTGTCGCAGGTACTGGACTTCGGCCATGCCAAAGTGGCATTTTTCTGGTTTTAGAGTGAGGCCTGTGGCCCGAATCTTGTCCAGTACGGCCCCTACATGTTGCAGATGTTCCCCCCAGGTCTTACTATAGATCGCAATGTCATCCAGGTACGCACATGCGAAGTCCTGGAAGCCATCAAGGAGCCTATCCACCAAGCGTTGGAAAGTGGCTGGGGCATTCTTCATCCCGAATGGCATGACCTTAAATTGGTACAGGCTGTGACGAAGTGCCCTTCGCCACTTGTGCCTGGAGGGGACTACTGGCTAGCCTTCTGCCTTCCGACATTGGCCCATGTGCTGATAGCTGTATTTCCCCTGCAGAAAGGTTGATTTGTGTATTTCTGCCGGGGCGTTCTGGACTTTCAGTATGGTAGTAGTGCTACCCCAGATAGCTATGCCATGGAGCCTATTCGTGTAATAAAAGACTATGGAAAAGACTTTGGCTCCATGGCGATTGAACTGTATGTATGTGATCTGAGCGCCATTTCGTAATAATGTGCGCTCAGATCTAAGCTATCTGGGGATATGTTGCAGGTATATGTTTTATGTAATAATTGTAACATTGTGTAATTTTATGTCTTTTTGTAACCATGTGGTTAATGGAGTCTTGCCTCTGTCCTGGGAGATAATTTGATTACTTCCCAATTATCTCTAGGATAGAGAGGAGAGATTGTGATGTCACTGTGGGAGTGTTTTGTTTGTATTGTCTGTGATTGGCTGATATCAAATATGTGTCCCATTGTTCCATCAGGTCCCCTAGGGGAGTGTCCACCTGGTGGACACTTGCATAAATACCAGGCAGGTGGCCCTCAATAAACCAGACCTACTTGAACCTTTCTTGAAGCCTTGGCTCATGCTTGGGGGATGGGATAACTACACTCTGGAGATTGCTATAATCACATACTCCCCAGAGTCAGCTCTTGCAAGAGCTTGTTTTGTTCCTGGTTCCTGCTCTCTGGATTTAGGAGAGGTTCACCCACTGGACGCTAGATCCTGGCCTTGGATCCAGGGTGGGTGAGAGACGGCGAGACCCCAGCACAGCTGCATCGCTGGAAGTGGGGTCTGCAGTGCTGATGGTGTCGGTTGGAGTGCTCGGAGTCCTTGGCAAGCGCTAGGAGCATCGATTGGCGGAGGTACTCAGTCGGAGTGCCAGCGTTCCGTCACACAGGCCAAACGGGGTGATGAATGCCGACTTTGGGATAGCCTCCTTGGCCAGGGCAATCTGCCAGTATCCTTTACATAAATCAATAGTGTTCAGATATCGTCCCCTACCAATGCGATCTAATAGTTCCTCTACTCTGGGCATGGGGTACGCAACCGTCACTGTTCGGTCATTGAGACATCTATAGTCCACACAGAACCGAGTGGTTCCGTCCTTTTTGGGCACTAGAATGACTGGCGAGGCCCAGGGACTGTCAGAAGGTTCTTTTTTTTTTTTTTTTAAATACTTTATTGAATTTCAAGTTTCAAAACAAAGTTCGAATATACATTGGTTATAATAGAGACATTGACGGTACAATTTCAAGAGATGTAGTTATGTAGCGAATTCGAGACATAGTGGTAATCATTAAACAATATATGACAAACAGTAAACATAGGGATTTTCTCCTGGCTTGCAATGAGTTTTGAATGAAACCTAGGAAGATGAGTTATGCAGCAACCGTATGACGTGTGTGGACACCTAGTACAGTAGATGGTCGGAAAAAAGGCTATGGGAATTTCTCCCGGTTTGTGTTATAAACTCTGGAGTGGGTCGTTATGGCATTATGTAAGAGTGGAAGTTGTAGCCCCCGGCTCATTTGACACCCCTCAGGTATGAAGACCAGGGTTCCCACAATTGGGTGAATATTGTGTAGTTTTTGGATAGTGCATATGTTATAGACTCCATCTGTTGGATGTTTTCTACCCTGCTGGTCCACTCCCTAACAGTGGGGGATTTTTCCTGTTTCCAGTAGACTGGAATAAAGTGGTTCGCTGCCATGAGCAATTGGGGTGTCAGATAGATTTCTGATTTTGTGAAACCCCGGGGTGGTAACATAAACAGAATATGTTTCGGTGTGAAGGGTATTTGTTTGTGCATGATGATTTGCGTGAGTTTGTGTATATGTATCCATAATTTCTGAATTTCCGGGCATTGCCACCAGATGTGTGTTGGGTTGGCCTCACCCTGTCCACATCTCCAGCAAATGTTTTGCGATCCTGGGAACATTTTGTGTAGTTTAGAGGGTGTGTAGTGCCAGCGGGTCAGGCGTTTATAATTGCTCTCTTGGTTGGCGGTTGCAATGGACATTTTATGGGTTCTGATAAAAATTTGCTTCCATTGCTCTCCCGAGATATCTATATTTAGTTCCTCAGTCCACCTGGAGGTGAACCTCGGGGTATCAATGTTTGAGATTAGCAGTAACTTATACATTGTAGACAGCAATTTTTGTTTTGAAGAGTGGGTTTTACATAAGCGTTCAAAGGTTGTCAGGTCTCTGTTTCCCTCCGGCATCAGTTTCTGGGTTGTCAGGAAATGTTTAATTTGCCGGTAGTGTAGTTGTTGCGAACTCGTAGGTGTTTTACCGAGGGTGAGGTCATGTAGAGCCATTAATGTCTTGTCCTTTGTTATGTCTTGCAGTGTAATGGTTGCTGTCCCCCTGTGTATCTCATAGGTTCGAGATGTGATCCCGGAAATTAGTAAGGGGTTGCGTGAGATCTGATACAACGGTGATGGGTAGGGGGCTATGTTCATGTTATTAGCTATTCTCGACCATATCTGCAGAGTGGTCAAGATAAGTGGGTGTTGGTCATTCCTGAGAAATGTTGTATTAGGTGTGTGCCAAGGGAGTGTGTTTAGAGGTATGAGACATTGCTCCTTTTCTATGAGTGCCCACTGCTGGAGTGGAGGATCTCATGTCCACTCGTAGACCCGGGACATATGTACTGCTTTATGATATGTCTCAATGTCCAGGACACCCATGCCCCCCCCTCTCTCTTGGCTGGGTCAAAAGTTTTAGAGGTAGTCTAGGTTTGGATTGTGACCAGATAAAAGAGGTCAGCGCCTAATTGAGTGTAGCGAAGAAACTGGTTGGTAACTTAATTGGGAGTGTTTGTAGGGTATATAAGATGCGTGGAAGTACCACCATTTTTATGATTCTTATTCTGCAAAACCATCCATAACAAGGCCTGTGCCAAGCCTTCAAATCTTTTGATATGGTTTCCAAAAGTGGAATGAAGTTTAAGTCATATAGTTGTCTAATTTGGTGTGGGAGATGAATTCCCAGGTATTTTATTGATTTTGTTGCCTAAGTAAAATGGAAAGTATCCTGTATTTGCCTATCTATATTTGGTGACGTGTGTAGGGGGAGAATCTCGCATTTTGCAAGGTTTGCTTGGAAGTTTGAAATATCACTGTATGCCCTCATTTCTGCTAGTAGAAGGGAGTGAATCGGGTCTGAGATCGTAAAAAGCAGAGACTTTGTACTCTATACCTCCTATTTTGATACCATGGATCTGTGGGTTGTTTCGGATCCCCTGTATAAATGGTTCTAGAACTAGGATAAATATTAGTGGAAATAGTCTAGTCCCATTCCTTATGTGCACTGTTTCTGAGAGTTGGCCGTTTATTCGCATTTGAGGAGTAAAGTCTCCCCAGCCATTCTAACCATTTGGTTCCGAATCCGAGATGTTCCATTGTGGCTGTCATGAGGGACCAGTCGACCCTGTCGAATGCTTTTTCAGCATCGATGGCCAGTAGAACACTCCTGATTTTATTTCACCTGAGTTCCCCAGAAGAGGGGGGGGGGAAGGGAAGGGAGGGAGGGTGAGTGTGGAAAGGAAAGGGGTAGTGTGGGCATGCATGAGAATAGTAACTATTTGGGAGTGATATCGCTCTGTTTTCTATGCGGGACACATCCGCAGTTCTTTGTTAGGCATATATCAGGGGTCACAAATATCCGGGATTTAGAGGATACGGGGAGCATAGTGACCCAGAGGTAAGTAGAGGTGTTCAGGTTAACAAATCCTAACATAATGCAGTATAGTGCAGTATACAACCTTATACCAGATAGTCTGGGGCTCGGCATCTCTAGGCTGGAGTGTGATGGAGGGGTCAGGCCCCAAGAGTCCCGTGCAGGGTTGTTCCCCATACTATCAATGTCCGTTTACTCCCAGCTTGGTCTTTGAAGTGGGGATGTGAGTGTGTCTTGTGGTTTCCATAGTCCCAGACTTTCAATGTTTAGGTCCTTGTGGTGTGTTGCTCCAAACCGTGTCCCCGAGTGTCCCTTCTGGTCTGTGAGTATCTCATTAAAATATGACCTTACTGTCCGTGTGCCTGTACAAAACAATGACTGCATGCCAGAAATGTTGTGGTCTCCGTGTCCTTAAACCATCATCATGCTCCCGTCTTCTTTGTTGTGT